AAATATTGTAATTCACTTTTATTAAATCGAAGCATTGCATCGATTATCATTAAGCGACGCGTTATTTTCTTTATTCTGCGTCGATTTATTATTTCAAAACGCGTTATTTTTTTTGTTCCGCGTTAATTCATTGTTTCAAATATTATAATTCACTTTTAATAAATCGAAGCAGTGCCTCGATTACGATTAAGTTATACTTTTATTTTTATATAAGTACTCGCTCTCCTTCCTTTTCCTTTTCTTTTTTTCATTATCACTATAACTACTTTCTATTCAATTTCTTAACTTCAACCTTAACACTTAACTTCAACTTCTTAACCTTAATACCCAACTTCTTAACTTCAACTTTAATACCTAACTTCTTAACTTTAATACTTAACTTCAACTTTTCAACCTTAACACTCAACTTTTTAATTAACTTTAACACTCAATTACAACCATACTCAACTTAAGTAATTATTTTCCTTTTGATTCTTTGCTTTTTAATTCTTTGCTTTAAGCTAATTATTTTCTTTATTTAGTAATATCGATTCCCTTCTTTTATAACGCTATAGTCGAGGTCAACCTTTTTAGCACCGATAGTAATAAGCTAATCAACGAGATACTTAGTCGCTATAAAGATTTCGTAGTCGTTTATACTAATAGTAACGTTGTTAATTTAATATTTACTTGCTATAATAAAAAGGATACCGCTTTGTTTCTAAGACTAATCAGCTTCGATTACGAATAAAAAGGTCGCAAAAGTTTTATCGACGAGTTCGGCATCAAGCATTATAATGCTAATAAGGTTAATAATAACATCTATATTTTATAATTACTAATTGATTTTTTATTTAAAAAAAGAGCGCTCAAGTCCTTTATCTTTTCGACTACTTTATCTTTTTCTTTAACCCAATTAAAAAGCAATTCACTTATAAGGATATCAAGGTTCGATTGATCTTAAATGATCTTACTCTTAAGCTTTTCGATAGCGATTATGCCGAAGCTAAAAGCATCTTAAAAGAGCTATTAATGCTATACCCCTTTACTATCGATAGCACCTTAGCATACAAACGCCTTACCTTTAAGTTTTCGAATGAAAATAAGTTTAAGTAAAGCAACAAGTGCTAAAAGCTAAAAGAGCTATTTAAGTCAAACGAGATTTATTTGAACTATGCTTACAAGCAAAAGCTTAAGCTAAAGGCGGAGACCGAGTTGAACGTATTCTACGTAACTGCAAAAAGACGGGTCTTTATCAACTCTTTATAACTAGTAGACTTAAGCTAAAGAACGGATCTTTACCAACCTTTAAGCTTTTGTAACTAGTAAATTTAACTAATACTTTAAGTCTCTGATTAGTAAATGTGATTAATAAATGTAATTAGTAAATGTGATTAATAAATGTGATTAATAAACCTGATTAGTAATTATGCATATGCATATTTTTATGTATATAAACCCTATAGAGTAACCCCACGCTCTATAAGGTTTCTTTATGGAAAGGAGCAGAATTTTATACCTCCCGTAGGTTCCCCCGTGGGGAGGACCCAAAATTCCGTGGGGCCCCATGGGGCCCCATGGAGCAGCCTAGATATTATGTTTCGATTGATCACTAAAGACCCGACTTTTGAGCTTTCTAATAACGATAATCTAAAAGCTAAAGGTATCTTAAAAAAGATATTGCGCCTTTACCTTTTTACGATCGATAAAACCTTAGCATACAAACGCTTAACCTTTACGTTTCTGAATAAAGATGAGTTTAAATAAAGCAATAGGTATTAAAAGCTAAGAGAGCTATTTAAGTTAAATAAAATTCATCTTAACCGTGCTTATAAGCAAAAACTTAAACTAGAAGCGAAGACCGAGTTAAACGTATTCTACGTGATTGCAAAAAAATGGGTCTTTATCAACTTTTTATAACTAATAAATTTAATTAATAAATCCAATTAATAAATCCAATTTTTAATTTTAAATATTAGTTTGATTATCAATTATATATGTGCATATTTTTATGCAAATTTATATATATATTGTGGAGGGGAAGAGCTCCGATATATATTTAACGTCGAATCAAGAAATATATATAAATATAATCATGGTAGAATCGTAAGTAAATAAAAAAAGAAAAAGAGGACGATCGAAAGACATTCGAATGTGTTTTGTGAATACGTGTATTGTATTGTATAATAATATAATGCTAGTTTAAAAAAGAACTAATTACTCGTTTATATAAAAGCTTGCACGTGACTTAATTACGTGCTTAGCAAGGTTAAAGTATGCGGCGCACTTACGTGATAAAAGTGCTTAGCATTAGTATTATATATATAAACAAAACAAATACAAAGCCTTAACTTTATTATATACGTCTTTTTTTCGAATCAGATTCGCTTTCGAATCACTTTTTATTAAAGTAGTAAGATTAGGTTTACAAGACGAGTATGTAGCCGAATTGCATAATCGCAATACGGTCTTAAAATACTACTTAATAATGCATCGCCGGATCGGTATTAATACGAAAGCGTATATAATATAATAAAGAAAATAAAAATAGCAACGAAAATACAAGATAATCTTTCGAGTCTAACTCTTTTTTATATTTTTTATAATACTGTTATTTAATTATAAGAATAATATCAACTCGAGCGTTAATATTATCGTTAAGATAAGCGTGCGCCGGCTTAAGCGGTTAAGTAATAACGCAATGCCGAATCGGTAATAGCGCGAGGCTTAAAGCGGTAACGTAATAAAGAAAACAAAAGCGGTAGTATATACTCGAAGTCTTATTATAAACAATTAACCTTTTTCTTATATCAACCTTATACTTTTCTATTTTTTCTTTAGCATTATTATTTATTAATTTTATTATTAATTATTATATTTTTAATTTGTTTTCGGTGCGTAAACTACGCAAGCAGAACTATCGATAATACTTCGAACCGATGCATTTTTTTTTTCGACACTTTTATTAAATGCGAGCGCTATTGTTATATCAAGTTAACTTGCATTTTTATAAGTTATTTTACTTTTCGTTTTATATTCGTTTTAACTCCGATTCGATAGCTTTTCGCAAAAGTCGTCGATGCTAGCATTGCTTTAATAGATATAATAACGGCTATAGATAATAAAATTAAATCGGCCGATAAGGTTTTTCGTATAAGCATAATTGCAAATAACTTTTTTATAAAGACTCGCCGCGCTTTTGCTTTTCGAATTAATAATGCTTCTTTTTTTTTTTCGAGCTCGTATCGCCGCTGCTTCTTTTGCCGCCGTTAATATTGAAAGTCTTTTGACTAGCTTAAGTCTCGTCTCGGCGTTGCGCTTATTTACCGCCGCTGCTACCGCTGATTTAGCTTCGCTAGACTTGCTACGTTAATTCTAGGCTGCTCCATAGGGTGGGGGCCCCATGGGGTTTTCCTCCCTATTCCCCCCATAGGGTCTTGGCCGATGAGGGACTTTTTTTTTTAAACCTTATAGGAAGGATTTTTTTAAGTCAAATTCCTTACGAGGGATGGGGAAACCTTATGGGTTTAAAGTAAGACAGCTAAAAATAATATATATGGGGCCGCTAAAAATAAAACAAATTTACGAATATTTACTAATTTTACTTAATCATTATATTTATTTATTATATTTATTAATTACATATGTTATACTTTACAATTACATTGTATTATATTATAATAAACTAAAATTATTAAACAAAACTTCTAGTTATGATTTCCCGCAATTTTTTAACTAACGCTATATCTTTGTTTTGAATCGTTATTCGTTTAGCGTGAATAGCATATAAGTTCGTTATTAAAAGTGATTAGTAAATCGATTAGTAAATCGATTAGTAAATCGATTAATAAATAAATATATAAGTACTTACTTTTAAACTCTCTTACGAAGAATGCTTTTAAAGCTTTTTATAAACATTCTAAAGCACCGCTTTGAAATTTAAAGTCTTGTTTAAAATCGTGAGTGATCTCTCGAATAAGACGCTAGAAAAGAGTCTTTTTGATAAGAAGCTCGGTGCTTTTTTAGTATCGTCGGATCTCTTTTAACGCAATAGCTATATAAATCAGTAATTGTACTTAAAAATCAATTTATTAATTGATTGAACTTACTTCTTAGCTTGTAGCGACGGCGCTTTCGTTGGCTTAGACCTTCTTTTTTCGCAACAATTGCAGACTTCTTAAGATACTTGCTTTTTTTGGATTTTTAACGAAAAGAAGTTTTAGCTGCCGAAAGTGATTTGCTAGCTGATAGAACGGAGCGAGCAGCTCTAGCCGTCGAGAGTGATTTTTTAGCTCTTTTATGTTGAGAGAAAGGAATATCATTTTCACTTGAGTTTTTTTTATTATCGCTTTGCTCTTCTTCATTTGTATTATTATAAGGCATCGTCTTCG